TTATTTATTTATTTATTTATTTATTTGATTTGATTTGATTTGATTTGATTTGATTTGATTTGATTTGATTTGATTTTTACCCCGCCCCTCTAGACCATGTCTACTCGCTCTTGACTTCGGTCTCCAAGATATCTGGCTCAAGGTCAGCAACCACATTATTTGGGTTGTCAAGGATATCCAGATCTTTCTGGTATAATTCCTCAGTATATTCTTGCCACCTCTTCTTGATGTCTTCTGCTTCTGTTAGGCCCCTCCCATTTTTGTCCTTTATCATGTCCATCTTTGCACAAAATGTTCCTTTAATATCTCCAATTTTCTTGAACAGATCTCTGGTTTTTCCCTTTCTATTATTTTCCTCTATTTCTTTGCATTGTTCATTTAAGAAGGCCCTCGTTTCTCCTTGCTATGATTATTACTATTAATCATTATTACAATTATTACATAATTAATAATTATTACTATTAATCATATGGGCTGCAGCAGAAGATACCTCTAAACAGACAACGGGTGTCTTGTGATATCCTACTTTGAAGAGTTGGGTGTACAGTTCTTTCAACACCTTCTACTAACTCTTGCAAATTCCTATCCATCCTAAATTTATTTTTCCTGAGCCAGGCATCAAAAAGAGGTATGCGAATGGGCAAACATTGCTAACTGAATAGTAGCATCCTTTTCCCCCATCACTTTTACTCTGTAAATTATCTCCTGGTGCTTACATTCCAGAATAAATTAGACTTCTCTTAGATTTATATTTTAAGTGGTAGTAAAATACCAGTCTAAGCCAAATGAAAATTGGTATAAAAAAACTAATAACTGTGGTCTTCCAAATATTTTTGCTTACATTTCCCATCAGATCTAGACAGTTATGGCCAATAATCACTGCCAAGCAGTAAGGGGAGTAGCAGCCCAAAAACTATCTGGAAGATAACAATTCCTCACCCTGGATTATAGTTTTTGGGATGTCACCTGACTGTTGTGCCCTTCAGACAGATATACTCCATCACTTGTGTGATTGACAAATATTACAGATACACAGAGACACACTGTAAGAGAGGACAAAAGAGAAGAGCAATAGAAAACAAGAAAATGACAACAAACAACCCCAAGTGGAAGATTCTGAATTACAAATGACCTATTACCGCTCACTCATATTTGACCCATCACTAACAAAAGGAATATTTTCCATCAGAAAGGAGCAGCAAAAAGTATGAAAAAGTTGCATGTGTTCTTCCTGCTGAAAAAGGATTGTCCGATTAAAATGATTTGTTAAAGTGTGAAAACATATATGACCTTTTCCCTCCCAAAGAAACACATCTTAGGAAGATCAGTATCCCAGTGTAAACAGAATGTTGCTTAATTCTTTTTTGCTTCTTTTTTAATATCCAAAACTTCCAAGCTGCTGTTCATCTCAGGAGGTTTGCAGTTAAAACACGGAACAATGATACGTTATTCTGGCACCTGTAATTTTAATGCTAACAAAGAATGATGGGGGGGATATATCTTATTTATTAATAAAATGTACACCATTCTTTCTACTAAAAGTAGTGCTGGAGGTGGATAAAAACTCTCCTCCCAATCCTGATCACACTCCATCCATATAGCAGAAAAGAATTAGAAATATTAAGGGAATCATACACAACTCATCTATTTAAACATCTAAACTCTATTCTTCTAATCTTTACAAAATAGTGTAGAAATAATAGAATGGTTACGTACACATATTCAAAAGGCATATTTTCTTCTTTGGTTTTTATTTTTAATTTTCTTGTAGTATCTGCTCTATAAACAGCTGTGCGTAAATCAGAAGGAGTCTCAGCTGGAAAAAACTGTATGAGACAGAGCAAATTAATTTTAGCCAGTCAGACATGTACTACTGTGGGCAGGCACAGTGGCGTTATCAATTATCTGTCATAACACTTGCCACCCACACTGCAGTTTATTTTGTGTTCTCATTATAGAGCAGTGGTTCCCAACCACTGATCCCTAGATGTTCTTGAACTAAAACTCCCAGAAGCCATGCTCACCAGGATTTCTGGGAGCTGTAGTCCAAGAACATCTGGTGAACCAAGGTTGGGAACTACTGTTCTAGAGCAAGCATGAGTAATTTATTGGTAAATTATTCAATACTGATAACACGCCTATGTATTTTGGTACAACAGTTTCAGAAACTTGTCTCCTCAAACTGATGATCATATACTAAACATTTATTGAGAAAAAAATCAAGTATCTAGTTTCAGCATACTTTAGAGCCTGCATATTCCATTAATGGATGGATGTTTTCAAAGAAAGCAAGTCCCACATGGATCTGAAAACCATGCATAATACTCTGACTCCTTTTAGTGGCCAATTCTGGTAATTACATAATGGAAATGTGCATTTCTGGTTTTTTCATTTAATATTTTTAATATTTTCAGACTGTGGATAAATGAAAGTGTGGATACTGATCCTGCAGGTAAGATACTCCTATTATATATACCATCAAGTCAATTCTGACTTACTTTAACTTCACAGGATATTCTGTGTAGAAAGAAATCAGAAGTGGCTTGTCTTTAATTTCTTCTGGGCTTTCTAGGACTGAGTAGTTAATCCAAGGCTAGTCTCCAGGAGGCACACTGTGGAATTGAACTCCTGAATTCAGGTTCCCCAGCTCAGTGAGCTATCCAGCCAACTTACAATAATGCTATACAACAATCTACTATTTCCCTATTTTACCATTATGACCTAAGAGATACAATATAAGCATAAATATATAGTTAATTACTAAAAGCAAGTACAATAAACACATGAAATACAATGCTAAAATCTGACAGTAAGAGTCTAATTGTACAATGCTGCTACATCTACTCAGAAGTTCCACTGAGATCAGATTGCAAGACAGTGCACATAAAATTGCTGCCATTATGTAACACATTGGATGAAATCCTGGGTTTTTTTTTAAATGCATGCAAAATATTCACTTGCTTCTAGCTGGCAATTAATGAGTCATGTCTGCAATTCTCAGGGGCACATGCCTGAGAAACCTAGCAAGACCTGCCAGCCTACTAGCCTCAGTGTTGAGAGGCTTCCCATCGCTACTAACAACACCAGGGGTGGGACAGCAGCTTGCCCACTTCATATGCAACTAAAATGGAACTGCTGGAACTGTTCCCCTGGCAAGAACATGACCAGACAGCCAGTGCCAAAGTGGCTGGGAAGTCTCCCTGGCATTGACTGGACAGCAATGCTGTTCTTGCCTGAGGGGCAGCTTCAGCAAATCCATTCTTGCAACATATTGAGCCCCAGCACTGGCCCTGTCAGTAGCTGGAAAGCCCTGGTACCATTTTTAAAAGTGCAAATTTGGAGCAATTTTTAAACTGAATCCAGGCTTGAATTGTGTGCAGCCAAAATCACTAGAAATTTACTTTGCATTGTCTATTACATGTACTTATGGCCACGATATCTGAGGTTGATTCTAATTCCTGGACAAACCCATATGAAAGAAAGTGGGTAATCTGAAGATAACCTAATGTGAGCCATTTTTAGATTTAACCTCTAAGACCAACTGTGGCAAAGATCACCCTGGGAGCGAGCGGATCTGACGTAAGTTTGGAAGCATATGCTGTGATTTGTGAGGAGTGGGCAAAAGTCTGGCTGCACATTTTGGACCACACAAAGCTTTCCAATCATCTTCAAAGGGAAACACATATCAAATGCATTACAGTGGTCCAGTCTGCACATAATGTAAGCAATGATAATTGAAACTAAGTCTGTCTTCTGCAGGAAACAATTCAACTGGAGTTTTACGAATAAAATTTAATATAAAGTAAAAACCATCACACATCATTAGAGAACATTCAGTTAGATGGTCCAGTCACATTAATCCATTAGCTCCTGCAAGCTAAAACACTAAGTTGTGTCTCATTAGTTAAAGTAACAGTCCTATATTGCTTTTATAATATTTTTAGCTGACATTCTAATATGTAACTTTATACTTGCAATTTTTGAATGTGTATGTGATTTATAATTTTAGATACATTTTTACATATTTATAAATTGTGATTTTAGATATTTGTAAATTGTTATTTTATCTGTATCTTTAAGTGAACTGTTAGCTACCCTAGGCTCTCGTGGAGAAAGGCTGTAAATAAGTTGCAAAAATAAATAAATACACACACCAAGGATAAAACATAACCATTAATGAACTATGTCAATTAATTATGTGTAAAAATTAAAGGCTCTCTCACAAGAGAACTCTCATCTTCCTCTGCACTAGACGTCTGCTCAGGCTTAATAAACTTTCCTTTCACCATATGTGGCACTTCTGTGTCGTCTGGTTTAAGCTGCAATCGAGATACCAGTGGTTTTTGCTGAAGTCTTTTCTTCTCATCCATTGTCTGACAGCTGTGGTTCTAATGTCAAGATAATATTAAAATTATCAGAACATTGTGGCAACCTGTTTTCAGAGATTTTACATGAATTCAGATGTTACAAATGCTGAGAAAGTGCCATCAGCTACTCAGTTTCAAACTTTGAATGTTTGTTATTATGATTCAAAAGCAGTCATACTTCAAAGATACATTATGGTCACATCAGTAAAGAACTACTTGCACCAACAGGTAGCAAGTGAGCTGAACCAGGGATGAAATAGACATAGAGCAGAGTATGTTTTTCCTCACTTCTCTTCTCTAAATCAATTTGCAGTTTGTTCCCCCTATATTTCATTATTCTCTACTTCTCCTTTGTGGTCAGTTTCTATTTGCTTCTGCTTGTCACCTACAGAGACGTGTGCTCACATGTCTTCTTCATAATGGCTCCTACCAGATCCCAGAAACATGCAAGCCAGGTCTACTGGCTTCTGTAAATCAGTTTTAGAAATCTTTTCCTCCTGCTCTGTCTACAAATAGATTTCCTAAGACAACAAAAAGCATATTTTTCCTTTTGCATTAACTATCAAATAATCCTAACAAAACTGTCCCAGATTTGCATTTATATGTAAATGAACATTGTTGATTTTGTGTGTAATGAAACCTAGTTTATTTATTCCACATGCCTCTTGTGTTCAAAGAGGAGGCAGCACAGTGGAAGTTCAGCAGCAGAAAAGCAGTAGAAAAGGCTTGGTTACATTACAGTTATTACTTATTATGACTATATGGAACTTCCAGTTGCTGAAAATAACAATGGGAGAGTAATATTGGCATCATGACATTTATGGGGTTCCTAAAGATGTGTTTGGCCACCACCAAAAACAAAATGCTGAATTAGTTGAACCTTTGTGACCTAAAGGTGCTCTTCTTAAGTTCAATTTCCACTCTCACCTTTCTGAAGAGCAGTCATTGTGAGCAATAATAAAAGGTCCAGAAAGAAGGATTGAAGTTAGTATGGGAACAAGATTTTGGGAAAAGATAAATGAGGAAGAATCGAGGAAGATGTGGAAATTGAGGGTTTTAAGATTTATGTCAGTGAGAATAAGAGAAAAAAATGTAAACTGGTTCTAAGATGGTATTTAACACTGACAAAATTAAATAAAATTAATGCTAGTTATCTGAATGTCTGTTGGAAATGTGAGAAGGAAATTGGTAGATACTTTCATATGTGGTGGGAATGTGAAAAAGTACAAAGATTTTGGAAACTAATCTTTAAAGAATTAAATGATATATGTGAAAGATATAGAATTCAATCATGAGATTGCTTTGTTATCAATATCTGAGAATGTGGAATATGATAACATGACTAAAGATAACCAATTTATTAACAGCAGCTAGACTAATAATAGCTAGGCAATGGAAAACAAAATCTGAATTTCGAATGGATGAATGATACAATGAAATATGGAATACAGCTATAAATGATAAGCTAACTTGTAATTTAAAGATTAAGAAAGGAGAGTTGAAAAAGAATAATTTTTATTAAATATGGGACAGATTTTTTGAATATGTGTTAACAAGAGGAAAAGGGAAAGCTCCAAATCAAGAATCAATGCAGTTCTGGAGAAAAGGACAATAAAAGAAGAAGAATATAGATGGAGCAAGAAGATTATTGCAAGAGGTCCCGTCTATGGTGGTGAGAAACACAGTTAAATTGTATTTTGGTTTGTGTATTTTATGTTTATGTTTATGTTATAGATAAAATAAAAATATTTAAAAAGTAAAAGGTCCAGAAACGAAGCCGTATGTCATACTATTTTGTTATTTTATTGTTTTGTTTATTGTTGTAAACCATCCAGAGTGGCCTTGGCTGCCAGATGGGCAGTATAGAAATGAAAACACAAAATTTCCACCATCACAAATATTTGCAGGGCTGCTGTGCGAAACATGGAACATTCTACCTCCAGAGGGTAAAATCTGAATCACAAGAAGGGGAGATTTGGTGGTGGGCTCTCTTTTATTGGATTTTTTAAACAAAACATTAAATGGCCGTTTGTCAGGGATACTTTAGCTCTGGATTTCCTGCTTTGGTAGGGAACTGGAATTGATAACTCATGTGATATCTTTCAACTATAAAGTTCTACTAATCTATGTTGCAAAACAAATGAGAATTAGTAAGGTGTTGTGAATGGACACATACTCTATATATTCAGATACTTATACTGATGAGCATGAAGCTGTATTAGTAAACATCATTCCATGTTGGTCAACTCAGTAGCATGCTTACAGTAACCACCTTGTCCCTGAGTTATGAGAAAAGTCTAAGTTGAAAATATGTACTGTCTTTTATGACATATGGCCACCTCCAATAATTGTTTTGCTATATATCGACTGCACTTCATCCTGTCTTTTAAATTTAAAAGTTACTACCCCGTCTATTCTAACCTTTCATCGTATTTCCTTGTTTGAACGAACCACATTTTAAGTGCTGTCAAGTGGACTCTGACTTATTGCAGGTTTTCTACACATACTGTATAGTACTCAGAAGTTGTTTGCCATTCCCTTCTTCTGGGGACTCTTGGGCTGTGCAGCTTGTCCAAGAATATGCAGGTTGGCTCTTCTTCCAAGAGACACAATTAGGAACTGCACTCCCACCCACATCTAACCCACCAGGAATCCATCCAGCTACCCAGCTAATAAATGATAAATATATACTGGTCTGTAACCCTTCAGTCACAGGCCAGTACAGTATATAAAAGAGATTTCAGTTCTCTTCAAATCAAATACAGATGGGGGGGCGGCTTAATATACCGCAAGCCCATGGCTGTGAATATATTTAGAAAGATTTATACATTCTAGCTTGTATCAACATTTGTTTTCTCATCAAATCATATTAGAACAGTACAGATTTTCCCCTTTTTCTTTGCTTTCAAACCATGGCAAAACTGGCAGAAATTCAGTAAATAAATCTCAAATGCCTATGGCATACCAGAGGTCGTTTAGGAGGTATAAACGTTGGCACAACAGTTCTTCAAGGGAGAAGAGGAGAGCAGCATAAACAAACTAGATTCAGCTCTGAAAACCTGAATTTATGTGAGAAGGGGATTCTGTTGTTGTTTCTTCCATGTACTGTTCTTTTGTAAAGAACGTTTCATAGCCTTCCTCCTTATCCCATAAGACCTGAGGAAATCCCACAGTCCCCTTCTCCTCATCCACCTTATTCTGACAGTTGATTTCCCCCGCCTCACAACTCTGACAAGGATGGGGAACCGTGAAAAATAAGCGTTTCCCCTCAGGCAGGTTCTCTCACTACTAACACCCGCTTTCCCCTCAGGATTTTGGTCTGTCTTTCCCGGTCTAGCAAACACAAACAGCGAGTCCACTGTCCCCGATAAAATGTCACGGACGCACCTCCGTGTAGGGACTCTGCCAGCCGAAGTCCGTTATTCTAACCGTTGAAACCTGCCCGGTTCTCTCCCTCCCCCACCCCTCATGTTGACGGGTAGAGACGGTCGTTTTCCAAGCTCCCCCCGCCCGCGTTGGCAGCAGGAAATGTTTCTGAACATTTGGAAAGAAGAGGTAGCACTACCTCTTCGTGTAATGATGGTTTGGGGGGGACAAAGAGCTCTCTCTCTCTCTCTCTCTCTCTCTCTCTCTCTCTCTCTGTGTGTGTGTGTGTGTGTGTGTGTGTGTGTGTGTGTGTGTGTGTGTGTGTGTGTGTGTGTGTGTGTGTGTGTGTGTGTGTGTAAAAAAGCAAACCTAAGGGGACGTAAAGCTGCTCAGCATACAGCGCAGAGGCTTTTAAGGAAGCAAACAGGAAAGGGGGGAAAGGAAGTTTTTGAGATCCAGAATGGGGAGGGGAACTCTAGGGTGCCTCGCCCACCCCTGGAATTAAAAGAAAACGGAGTTTTTAAAACCAGAAAATGCAGGAAATGTCTTAGAAGAATCAGGAAGTTCGGAAATGGCTGAATCGAAAGTAGCTGAGCAGTTAAAAACAGAAATACTGTACAAGGTAATCAAGCAGAAGACAGACAAAACAAACCAGATGGGGACAGGATCCTCAGAGAGTTGAGAGCCACCCCATATACACTGGACCTTTCCTGGCTCCGAAAACCATTGGCAAGAGAGGCAAGTGGCTGAGGGCCAGAGGGAAACAGTGAATGGCTGTTTTTGAGGATACCAGTGTTGCTGGAAAAGGCAGTTATAAGACCATTGTTGAAAAACTGCTCCCTGAAGCCTTTTGTACTGAATAATTATTGGACAGTTTCTAATATTCTGTTCTTGGCAGGATGCAGGAGTGTGCTCTGACTCCCAGTTCTAGAGATCCTTGGATGAAACTGGTGATGTAAACTACTTGGTTTTAGGCCTGCTGGTGGGTCTGAAACAACTTTGCATTGGGGCTGGTTGCTGTCCTGGATCTTTCAATACTGTTACCCATGGTATATCTTTTCCACAGATACAACTTAATTCTTTAAAAATTTGTCTCCAAAAACTTTGTACCTGGATCTTTCAATACTGTTACCCATGGTATCTTGCCAGGCTACCTTTTTAGGACAAGACTGGGAGATATATCTTAAGGCAACTTAGGATCGTCCTAGGCAAGTGTACACAGAAGGTGATGTTGGAGGACTCTCCTCAACCCCCACCTATTTAAGAATTAAAATAAACTGCAAAGATATGTTTGGAGATCTGGAGTTCAGTGTGACCAATATATAGACGACACCCAGTTCTTTCCAGTCTAAATCTGAGAAGACTGGTTTGTTTCTAAACCAGTGTCTGGTGTCAGTTACAAACTGAATGGCAGCAAACAAATTGAAGCTTAGCCCAGACAAAGCAGAGGTGCTCCTTATTAATGAAAAGGAGATCAGGCAAAAAGAATTCACTCTGTAATGGATGGGGTTACATTGGAGTCTTGCAACCTTGGTGTGCTCTTGGATCTTAAACTGAACTGCTCAAAGCATATTTTTAAGGTTTAGATTAAAGTACAGTACTGGATTTAGAGAAAACTGAATGTGAAAATTATTCTTTGTATTTTGCATCTGGTGGCAAATACGAAATAAACACATGAACGTCACATGCATTCATGTTACTACAACTTTCTAGTAATTATTTCTTAAGAAAACTTTTTAAAAAACCCACACAACATATTTGTCCATTCCCTCATGAGGTTTGGCAAAAGGGCACAATGAAATAAAATTGTGTAATACCTCACAAACATAAATGCACTCAAGCATGGAAGTACTGTATCTGGATATCACATAGAACTCAACAGAGCATTGTGCTCCCCATCTCCACCCAGCAGCTTGCCTGTCTTGGCATGCACAGATATGTAGTATTGAGAAAAGGCACTGGACATTATCAAAGAACATATATTTATACCCTTGGTGAGTGGGCATTTTCATTTCTTAGGTAATCTGTAGTATAAGAGAGTGAGGGTTGGACATAGATATTGAAATGAAACATAAAACTCACTTTTCTTGTCATTTTCTAGTGCTTATGTACATTCTTGTGCGTATATCTGCAGTGGCAAAAGGAGAACAATTTTACTGTGTGCCCTTGGATTATGAAGGTATAAATGAATAGCTAGACTCTTAAGTGAAAAATCACTTGTGAATTTCCTGAACTCCTTAATATTTGGATAGAACTCAGAATAGAAGCTTATAAGTAGTAAAATGTATTCATAATTAAAGCGACCTAAAATAGTATATTTTAAGGTCATCTTATCTAAACTTGCAGACTCTGTTGAGAATATGAAGCAGCATGTAAAAAGTCAGCTCAGATCTGGTTAATCCATGCTTGGTTTATCCTGTGGGTACCCCAAAGATTTAAATTGTGACTAATCTTTGATTTGTTAATCTGAAATGCTTAAATCCAAATACGAAATTTGCGGAGACATTTATTTTAATAAGGTTTGACTGGATGAATCAGGAACAAGTGTCACATGAACTGAGCTGAAATATTTAATACACCATGACAAAAACATAGTTAACTACATACTGATGGGTTCCACTTTTCACTGTTACACAGATTTTCATGCAGAACTGCCACTACAATTAACAGGAACTTTCATCACATGGTCAGAAAAATTGATGCACGTATTATTTTAACATGGAATTAGTTAATTTACAGATTATAAACTTGATTTATTGAATAAGTCTTTATATAAGTTTTAAGTGAAGTTAGCACTTGCTATTTAATAATCAATTGGGTTATATCCAGTTAACCTCTCCTGCAGTGCAATAGCTTCCATAAAGGAAAAGCAGAAAGGTGTGATTCTCCTTTCCCACTGTAACCCCTGCACACGTTCAAAATCTGCTCCAAAGAGCTGGAGGATGGGGTTTTAAGCAGATTGGGTCGTGTGTGACACTGCAAAGAAAACAATAGGAAAGTCTTGTTTGACAAACAGAAATCGTCTTGAGTAGATTTGGATTTTACCCTGTAAGTCTCTTGAGTTGGCTACATGATTGCCTAAAACTAGGATGATCACTGCTTTGTTTAAAAATTTTAAAGTATTGGATGTGTTGTTTGCATTCAACATTTTGACCATTAATATTAAAAGAATTGACACGAAAGGCCATATTGTACAAAATTGCTTTGTTCTTTAATTTTTTTCCCCAAAGTGAAATACAATATTGTGCTGAAGATATGAGCAACAGTGCTAGTCAGAGTAGCATAAACAGATGGCTCATTCTTTAAGTTTTCATGATGAATAGAAAGAGTGTCAAACATAGTCAAACAAATTGGAACAATTTCAGAGGAGGGCGACAAGGATGATCAGGGGGCTGGAAAACATGCCTTATGGGGAAAGGCTGAAAGAACTGGGCATGTTTAGCCTTGAGAACAGAAATCTGAGGGGTGGTATGATAGCACTTTTCAAATCTTTGAAAGGCTGTCATACAGAAGAGGGGCAGTATTTGTTCTTGATCATCCCAGATTGCAAGGCATGCAACAATGGGCTCAAGTTAAAGGAATCCAACTTTCGGATGAATATCAGGAAAAAAAACTTCCTAACTGTTAGAGCAGTATGACAGTGGAACCAGTTATCTCAGGAGTTGGTGAGTGCTCTAACACTGAAGGCATACAAGAAAAATTTAGATCATCACCTGGCAGATAAGCTTTGATTTTATTCCTGCATTGAGCAGGGAGGTTGGACTTGATGGCCTTGTAGGCCCCTTCCAACTTCACTTTTTGATGATTCTATTATAGAATACATAGAACTCAGGTTTTAAAATGGGCATGAAACATTAGGCAAGATTAAGCAAATGTGTATGATAAAACGACTTCTGAAATGTTTTAAACTTAAACTGAGTAGTGAATACCAGTCCAAACAGAATGTTTTTTCAGTTTCTGTGTTTATAGTTAAGAGTTCACAATTCTGAACACAGCTATGATTAAACACTCTGCCCTGATGCAGGTGTGGTTACGTTTTTTAAATGGGTGTGATGTAGACAATAAAGCAACTTAGAGCCCATCTACACTAAACCTTTATTATGGTTGTAACTGCTTCTGTAATTTTCCCCCCTGAAATGCTGACATGTAGAGTCCATAAGCACCCCCTCTGGCCTTTCATTGCTGTGGTCACTTCTCTGCCTTGAAGATAAAGCATCCACAAACACACAACTCTGAAACCCTCAAGCCCCAGCCCCTTTGCAATGGTTGTGCGGTCCTCTGACAAGTGCTGCCCTGCTTCAGCCCTAGACAAGACAGCATGTCAGGACACAATGATTAAAAAAAGAAAAAGTAGGCGATACAGGAAGTGACCCACTGGGTGGGTGCTTCAAGAAATCCCCTTTGTGGAAAACTCCACCTGCTCATTCACATATGCTGAATCGATTAATTGGAATCCACCTCAAAATAAATGGACCTCTAGTGGAGGAGTAGAATAACTCGGTCCCATGGTGCATTACTTCATGCATGCATGCAGAATCTACATATTTAAATATTCCACCAGATGAATACAGTGGGGTCTTGACTTGAGAACTTAATCCGTATTGGAAGGCGCTTCTCAAGTCAAAAAGTTCTCAAGTCAAATCTGCATTTCCCATAGGAATGCATTGAAAACCATTTGATCCATATCTGCTCTTTTCCGTCCATAGAAACTAATGGGAAGCTGCTATTCTGCCTTCAACCACTAGAGGGGGATATTTTGTTTCTTTTTTTCTTAGGTCAAGAAAGGTTCAGGGAAGGCAAGGAAAATACAGTCCAGGCAGTACAGTACCAGGCAGTCTGAAGACTGTCTCCCAATCCACTCTCTAAACGCTGGGAGGAGTGAGGAAGCAGACAGGCACCCTTTTCACTTGCCAACAGTTAACTGAAAGTTCAAATTTTGCACTTTCCCTGCCTCCCACGTGGGTTTTTTTCAGTTCTTAACTCAAATCTAAGTACTTAAGTCAAGTCAATATTT